TCATTAAAAACGACAGACAAGGTACTACGGTTAAGCTTTTTATTTAATTTTTCTTGTGTTCTGACAAGAATTTTCTTTTCTGGACAAAGGGTGTGTAACAACAACTGTCCAAATGTTTTATATTTCCGAGCGCTTTCGGCTATACCTTTCAGCTTAATTGAGTGTGTGCGTTCTATGTATGTATTAGTGTGTGGTAAGGGTGTTTTTAATTTCCGAATACGGTCAGCACATTGTGGCTTTGTTCGTAGTTAATATTTTAAGAGTTGGCTTTTTCTTTTTTTATTATTAAAGCTTCCATTATTTTTAGTCTTTTTTTGCAAGTGGATGCAGTTAATATATTTGTGTTTTCTACTAGTATGTTCCTAATGGAGTCGGGTAAATCTGTGTGTGTGTTCAAATGGGTTCTGATGGAGCTGTGATCAGATAGGTGTAACGTAATATATACATATATATATATATATATATATATATATATATATACTTGGGAAAGGTATTAATCCTCTTCTTCTCCCTCAGGTCTCTGTATTCGGCCCTTCAAAAAGTGCGGTTGGTTTTGCCCAAAACATTCACCAATATAATCAAATCATATGTGCTGGTGTCTGGACCATCGGTTATTACGAACTGACCTATTTAACCCTCATACGTCGAATACGACGGGAGAGTCTACCATATATATATATATATATATATATATATATATATATATACTACACCATTGTGCAAATTAATTGAAACAAAACGAATAATTCTGTTATTATTTACTTTTTTTCGTATTTTTCCAATGAAACATGACCCAGTGCACATATTAGTACTTCGTATGTCCATTCCACAAAATCGTTCCTTGCAGATTGACCACAGATTCTCGATTGGATTTAAATCAAGAGAGTTTCCGGGCCAATCTCTAGTACTTTCAATTGCTTACTGGTAAGGCTTGCCAGTGTGTTCGTGTAGCGTTACAATTTTCGTACGCTTCCTTGGAGTAACGTCCATCGCAGACACTGGCCGTAGGACAAGTAATCGACAGTCGAGACAATAGTGTCTAGGCGTGATGAAAATCTGTCGTAATCACGGATGATGCAATATTTTTCAAGGCCAAACAAATTTCATAATACACCTCGAAAATAGATTCATATTACTGCACACCACTGCAAATGACCTAATCTGAGGAAAAATAGAAATCGATTACACTTTATCACTCCAGTGGGTCTAAAACTGACCGTGTGGTGAAAGAAAGGAAACTAAAGTGGTTGTTTCAATTAATTTTCACAAGGGTATAAATATATATCTATAATACAGCGTATTCCATAATGACGGAACACAGAAATAATATTTCCGTTGACTACAATGTTCAAAAATTTTTTGAAATGGTGTCGAGGCACCAAACATCTTCCTTTTTTTTAGCTAATTTGAAGGCGCTGAATCTGAAAATGACCTTACTTTTTCTTGGTTAGCTGCTGTTTTTGCTTTACAGAAATGCCTCGTTTTTGGGAAAAAAGCAATTTTTCTCATTTGTTTTCTGTATATATGATATTGACCAATGGCAATACATCTCAAAATAAAATCATAGAAATAACTCAATTCGTATTTAAACCAATTGATTTAAATACAAATTGGTCTGCTTATTAAGGAATACTATTTTTGCAATAACAGTCAGACCCTAAGTCTTTAAAACTAACACGATTGAATATACAAAGACCAACAAGTATTTTCATCAAATCATTTAATAAACTAACAGCAGAAATAAAACGTTCGTGAATATAAGAACTATAGAAAGAGTTTTCTCTTTCTTGATTGTCATGTTCAATGTTATTTAAGTCCCTTTTGATATTCCAGCAGTATCATGGACAATGAAATAGGCACATTTAATTGGGATGTCTTTGGAGTTTCTTTCCAACTGTAAAAACAAAATGCTCTCAATGTGCCTGGTTTCCTACCGTAGTGAAGAGATAAAAGTGATGAGATAAATTTCTGAATATCAAACAGAAGATTTTAGGGTTTCATTTTTGTGATGTCACCTTAATTATCAGGTTTACTAAAGTGTATTACTGATAAAGTTTACCAGTTAATTTGAATCTTGGCGATAAATTGAAAAAAAATCGATTCATCTATTTTTAAATTTTTGACTCAGAAACACTATTTAAAAAAATAGTTTATTTCAGGTGACTCACATTAATTTCTCGGCCTACTTGAAAACTGATGTGTTTTTACGACCTTTATTAACTAAATTTTGTGATCAGCCAAGATCGTAAGTTGATCTTTTTTTCTGAAAATGAGCAATTTCAGTACAGCCAAAATGGTAGCTAACCATGAAAAAATTAGGTTATTTTCGGAATCAGCACCATGAAATTAGCTAAAAAATGTTTTGTTTCTTGACACCAAAAATCGCGTTGACCAGTGTTATTATTAAATATTATAATACAAGGTATTCCATTAAGGCGGGAAAGAGCAAGTGTCTTGGATTATAAAAATGATGTAAAGTAGCAAATATATTTATTACATGAATGATATACAAAAGGTCAACATATTATCTAAGATTTGAATATTACATCTCTGAGATGGACGCCACAGATTTTGATATTTCCTATAGGTATCTTTTTTGCTTACGGTGAACCCGCATTATTTTGTTGAAACCAAAATAAATTGCATAAATATGGAACCAAACTTCACCAAAGATCCATCGTTGTAGCCCAAAGGAAATTCCGACACCATTTTGAAAAGAAAGTCACAAGCACCCTCCGGAAACGTAATCCTATAAACTTCCATGAGTCAGGCAATGCCAACTGTGTTTGAAATGAGAGAGTGGGGGGCTCGTGCGTGTTCTCTCCGAGGTGGTGAGCAGCATATATCAGTTTTGTAATAAATCTATTTGGTATTCTATGTCATTTTTATAATCCAAGGTACTTGTATTTAAAAAGGGTACCATCACTATAGGGTACCCTATGTATAAGAATTACGAAGGTACAAATGAAAAGAATTGGAATTGATAAGTTTTTTTTTCTATTTCACGGAAGCAGACGTTAAACACACGAGAGCGTCATCGCTCTTCGCTTTTTTTTCCTTTCCCAAGACAAACAGCGCCTTTGATATATTTTTTCTTCCGTCTGTCCTCACTATCTAATAGGAATTATTTATCTGCGGTAATGGAAGAACAATATGACTTGCTATTAAGGCTTTCTATTGAACACTTCACACACACACACACACACACACACACACACACACACACACACACACACACACACAATAAGTGTTTTCCATAAAAGAGTAATCTTCATGAGAAATGCTTCGAGTTGATGGTAACCAGTAAATAAATCTGATCTCTCATCTTCGGCCACTTCAGGTTTTAAAGTCGTTCAATTGTTGTTTTTTTTTACAGTAAGGTTCATCCTATCAGTATCTGTCTATATTTCTGAGATGAGGTGTTATGTACTATTGTCCTCATCTTTGTTGCCATATTTACCACAACGTTTCGGCCGTTGTACGCTCCGGCCTTCTTTAGGATTGCAATAAACTGAACCCTTCATTTCGTTCGCTGGGGTAGACTGTTTTTGGTTCCACGTGCCATGTCTAATTGGATGTCAGTTATTAGTTATCTCCTGTTAATTCCCCTCTCCAAGAAGGCCGGAGCGTACAACGGCCGAAACGTTGTGGTAAATAAGGCAACAAAGATGAATAATGAAACAGGTTCATCCTATAAAAGGCGTAGACGATCATGTATCTTTCGATACATGACTGACGAGGCAGATTTTTTTCCTGCAGTAGGTTGACATTTCTTTCTACGCTAGACCAGTTGCCATCCAAGGCTATAGAACCAAGTCTGTCCTGCTACTTACCCATATCTGGGGTGTGGGGAGAAGAAGATGATTCACACCTTTCCCAAGGGTATTAGCACGTAAGTCAATGCAATGGATTCGACTGGAATTCGAACTCGGCTCTCTGATTCCTCAAATGTTTTTTTTTTCAGTAAGGTTCACCCTATACAAGGTCCAGGGGTAGTCATTCAGTCAGTTATGTGCCATGCGTGATACACGCTTAGGCAATCATGTATCATTCGATACATAATTGACGAGGCAAATTTTTTTCCCGCAGTAGGTTGCTATTTCTTTCTGCTGTAGACCAGTTGCTATACAAGGCTATAGAATCCGATCTGTCCTTCTATTTTCCCATAACTGGAGGGAGAAGATTATTCACACCTTTCCCAAGGGTATTAGCACATAAGTGAATGTAATGGATTCGACTAGAATTCAAACTCGGCTCTCCGATTCCTCAATTGTTTTTTTTATTTTTTTTTACAGTAAAGTTCACCCTATACAAGGCTTAGGAGTCACTCGTGGTAGTCAGTTAGTTATGAGCCATGCATGATACACACTTAGGCGATATTGTATCTTTCGATACATGACTGACATATCTATCTCTAGATAGATAGATAACAGAATGAATTAAATAGATAGATAGATAGATAGATAGATAGATAGATAGATACGTATTGAAGAAGCTGAGGATAGATAGATAGATAGATAGATAGATAGATAGATAGATACGTATTGAAGAAGCTGAGGATAGATAGATAGATAGATAGATAGATAGATAGATAGATACGTATTGAAGAAGCTGAGGATAGATAGATAGATAGATAGATAGATAGATAGATACGTATTGAAGAAGCTGAGGATAGATAGATAGATAGATAGATAGATAGATAGATAGATAGATAGATAGATAGATACGTATTGAAGAAGCTAAGGATAGATAGATAGATAGATAGATAGATAGATACGTATTGAAGAAGCTGAGGATAGATAGATAGATAGATAGATAGATAGATAGATAGATAGATAGATAGATACGTATTGAAGAAGCTGAGGATAGATAGATAGATAGATAGATAGATAGATGATGAATTAGATAGATGGATAGATAGATAGATAACAATGAATTAGATAGATAGATAGATAGATAACAATGAATTAGATAGATAGATAGAAAGATAACAGAGGGAATTAGATAGATAGATACATAGATAGATAGATAGATAGATAACAGAGTGGATTAAATAGATAGATAGATAGATAGATAGATAGATAGATAGCAGAGTAAATTAGATAGATAGATAGATAACAGAATGACTTAGATAGATAGATAGATATGAATAGACTGAGAAAATAATTCTTCTTCAACAAAGACTCGGAGACACTTTCGAACTCTATCAAGACGAATAAGTGAGGTCTGGGCAGCTCATGACCAAATATGGTAAAAGTACACACCATTTGGGGCCTGATCTGGTTCTTATAAAGTTAGATACAGGGAGCCGATCATTTTATCTCCATCCTTAGCGTTGGATCGTATGTACAATTGTACGCCATTTTCGATGGGTCATATGACAACAGTCAGTCAGTTTATGTGCCATGCGTGATAAACGTATAGGCGATCATGTATCTTTCGATGCACATTTTTTTCTCCACAGTAGGTTGCCATTTCTTTCTGCGGTAGACCAGTTGCCATCCCAGGCTAGAGAACCCGGCCTGACCTTCTATTTACCCATAGCTGGCGGGAGAAGAAGCGGATTCCTTTCCTAAGGGTATTAGAACGTAAGTGAATGGCTTCCCCAGCCGCTATCCATTACTCGGGTTACGTTAAGGGGTACTTTTATATGGGTAAGGAGGAACGAAGATAATGGTTGACTCTAGACTTGAAAAGGGTAAGGTTGTAGTGATCGGAAAAAAAAACATCCTCTTGGGAGTGGCTCGTGGGAAGAAGCTGTTTGAGTGGAACTTCTCGCCGATGGGATGGTATTTATCAATCCACCCACATAGCGCAGATACTACACTTTGATCCTAGCCACCGGGCCGAGCGGGTATTCTTTTTAGAGATGGTATTTATCAATCCACCCACGGGGATCGAATGTGGCACAAGGCCTTTTTAATGTGGGTATCTCTGAGCCCGTAGGCCCAGCCAAAAATAAATAACCATTCAAACCCGCCGAGGTGGGCCAGTTCCGTCAACCTCCCCCAACGAAGCCCTACCCTTCGGCGGAGCTTCATCCGGGTTCCTCTCTGCAAGCAGAGAGTTCGACAGACACCCGACCCGGCACAAAGCGCAGATACTATACTTTGATCCTAGCCACCGGGTCGAGCGGGTATTCTTTTTAGAGATAGTCGCCGATGGGATGTGGGTGGTTACGACTATGTAAGTGGCAGGGTGGGTGTGTATACTGTAATTGTTCGTCCAATATCTGCAGATATTGTTTTTTTCATTTGGTATTAATGACAAAACCATTTCCATAATATTTACTGTTTCTCAAGCTATTAACGTTTTGTTGTCAAACTATGATATTGATATCAAGTCCTTAGATTTTGGTTTCTTGGAGACATCAACACTGAAAGCCAATAGCTATTGTTTTTTCTCTCTTTTTTTCTCACAAGTTTTCTAACATTAAATGTCCCGATGGTCATATGTTTATACGTAACTGAATGCATTTAAAAAGTTTTAAATAAGTCGTTGTCAGCTTTTAACGGTGAACAACCGGAGGCCATTACTTTCTCCGCCAAAATCTATATACAGTGGAATCTCGATTCACGAATTTAATTCATTCCTGAAGTCTGTTCGTAACCCGAAATGTTCGTAAACCGAAACAATTTTTTACAATAGGAATCAATGTAAAATGGGTTAATCCGTTCCTGGTCTTAAGATGATTGCTTATTTAAACTTTTACAACAGTACTTTGTGCACAAGTTTTATACACAAGACTAATGAAAATTATTAAATCTAAGAAAAAAATAAATAAACCCATGCTACGAACTCTTTAATTTTACCGTACCGTAGGAGAGTTGATGGCGTAAGTGGAAAGGAAAAGGAAAGAGATGGTATTGTTTGGAAAAGGGAAAGAAAGACATGATTGTCTCTTTATTTATAAGAATAGTATAGATCGTTGATTTTGCCATATAAAACTGAGTAAGAAGAGACAATATCATCAACAATTATTTTTCTCTTTTCTTTATCCTTTACCAGTGTCACTGCTGGCTTTCTTTGGAGCCATGAATGAGGACTAATGAAGAGAAAAAAAAGGCACAGTTCAATAAAATTGGCAAAGAAAAGCACAGCACGACACACGAATGTATACAACATGGCGGTCGACTCAGAAATGATTCCGTTCGGGTTAATTCGGTTGGGCTCAGGTTAACTCTGTTTGGCTCGGGCTAACTCGGTTTGGCTTGGTCCGAAAATGTTGTTCGACAACCAAGGCATTTTCATCTCAAATATTCCGTTCGAAAACCGATTTGTTCGACATGTGAGACGTTCGAGAACCGAGGTTACGCTATATATAAAATCGACGATGTTTGTCTGTCTGTGTGATACCTTTTCACTCGAGATCCATCTAACGAATTTTGACAAAATTTGGCATAGACATTGTATATCGTAAAAGATAGGTTCTTAGCCTAAAAAATCGATAATTTAAAAAAATCAATAATCAATAAAGCCAATCAAAACTCGATAAATTCAACTTTTTTTCTCCGATTTCATTCAAACTCGGTATGTAGGTTACTTACTTCATGACGAGTTCAACGATGCCTCATTTTTATTTCTGCGCCAAAAACAGCGAAAAACGAAAAATCGATTTGAACACAAATTTTAAACTAAAAACTCCAGCCATTTTCAAACAATCTAATACAAACTTCACTCAATTGTAGCCAACAATAAGTTGATTGTTTAACAGTCATTTAACTTGATAACTGATTCCACCCATAGAGTGAAAACCCGCGTAAATAACGAAAAATGGCAATTTTTATTGGTTTCTTATTTTTCGTTGATCTTTTAACCAATTTTCATTAAATTTAACAATTGATTTATAAATGTATCCTCTTTTACATCCCTGGTAGCACGCTGACAAACTGAATTACAAAAACTCCAAAATATTTGTGGTCTGAAGTGGGTTTTCATGTTACATGTTTTACCCCTTCATGTCCTCGAGTAACTTCGATTGAGTAAATACAGACTACTTCTGTTATATCAGTAACTGCATGAATTCAAAATGTTTTTTTAAGGAAAGTACGAAAAGTAATTGAAGAAGATAGACACTGTTACATCTAAACATGATGCTGTTTTTGCTCCATTCTAATGAACGCTTTTTCTGATCGACCAGCTCGGTATCGCTGCTAGATAATAATAATAAAGAGGTTTGTCATTCTTTTTTCTCACTAAAATATGACTTTCAGATATGACTTTTTCGTCGTTATAATAGTCGCAAACGTAATAGTTCAATATTTACGAGGTATTGACAGGGCGTAACGTACGTGCGAAGAAACAAAGAAAGAAGACGAATAATAATAATTTTAGAAAAATACAAATATAAAAGTCATAAGTGGCGACCCAGAGACATTAGATAAAGAATTGGTCAGTATAAGTAGTACCCTACAACGTAACAACTACCCCGGGTACGTGGCAGCAGCCCCCTAAAACTGGGATAGGCGGGTACAAGAGGAAGACAACAACAATCAGAAAACAGTCTGCCTGCCTTATGTGAAGGGGTTATCAGAGAAAATACAAAGGATCTGCGGTCCATATAACATCAGACAACCTTCAAAAGCTTGACGACACTTCGCAGATATCTCTCCCGTGTAAGACCCCACCCATAGAGAAGAACATGACTAAAGTCTGTGTCTTCGTCTTCCTATGCAGCTGCGGAAAGAAAGGAGAAAATAAGCCGCCCCTTATTTAAGGCTTTACAAGAACACCAAAATATCTGCAAATACGAGGGGAAGTGGAAAAATCAAATCACCATTATGTCCACATATGGAGAGAGAAGGAGATCATCTGCCATCTGTAGGATAAGGTTGAGATCATAGACAAAGAACACCATTGAAAAATGTGTAAACTTAAGGAATCACTTCATATGCTGGCCACAAAAATCTCCTGAGCCGACCAAGCATAGAAATGAATACAATATGGGAACCAGTAATAAGATGGCCAGAGAAAAGCGATAACAACAATAAAAGTTGCAATATGAGCTCTGGTAAAAATATGATTGATAACAGCAAAAAATTGGAATATGAGCTCTGGTAAAAAACGGTACTGAAGACATTAGGTTTATAATACCCAGAAATTCATACAAAAATGTCCTCAAGGCACAGTGGATAAAGGTGTTGGTTTGATCCAGTGACAGAACCCAAAGAGTGTGAGTTCAATACCCGATTAAGGCAATGGAAAACTTTCAGACTCATTAACAGGAGATAACTGATAACTTGTCATCCATTAGACATGGCACGAACTGGAACTAGAACAGTCTACCCCAGTAATGCGAAATAAAGGGTTCAGTTCGACATTCCAACCACCTGAAGAAGGCTGGAGCGTACAACGGCCGAAACGTTGTAATAATATGGCGACAAAGATGAGGACAATAGTCCGAATAATTTACTATATATATATATATATATATATATAGAAAAAGTTTCAAATTGAAAATTATAATGTTTTATTTTATGAAAGTATTTATTTATTTATATATAAATACTTTCATAAAATAAAACATTATAATTTTCAATTTGAAACTTTTTTATTATACATATTAAGAAAGTATACGTTTACTTCTCATTATGCTACAATATATATATATATATATATATATATATATATATATATATATATATATATATAATGATATAATTTTTCTAGGAAAATTCTAGTTTCAAAAGAAGAGAGAAAACTGCAAACGTTTTTTATTGTAATAGGATTTTCTTAAAAAATATTATGTTTTATTTTCCATAATTTACATAATATCTCATCTAAGAAATACAGACAGATACTGACAAGGCGTAACGTACGTGGGAAAGGACAAAGAAAGAAGACGAATAATAATAATAATAATTTAAGAAAAATACAAATATAAATTTTGGACTATCATTAAAATAAGGGGTGTCGCATTTAGTTTTCAGCTTCCTCATTTCGGAAAGAAATGTCATATTAGTTTCCTTTCGTTTCGTTTCTTACATTCCAGTTTTATATAAATTGCAACACAAGGGAATTTGAGGCAATAAAGAATATGGCACTTGTTTTTAAGAGTATAAACCAATTCTAGCGTACGGCCGTACAGCGTTTGAAACACCGGCTCAAATAAATTTAGTGAAAAGATGCACCCTTGTCTTACGCCCTTTTCTATT